TCTCATGACTAACATTGTTACTTCACGATACGTGTATGTACTGATGATGAGACACACTACATTCTAACTGACAACCTAGTGACCATCGCATTCTAACCTACAATATGACCTGATACTAGCTAACACATACAACAGACTACTGAGTATCATATACTGTAGTGTTGTAGGTGGTCGTTTTGTCAACACTTGTCTCATGACTAACATTGTTACCTCACGATACGTGTATATACTGATGATGAGACACACTACATTCTAACTGACAACCTAGTGACCATCGCATCCTAACCTACAATATAACCTGATACTAGCTAACACATACAACAGACTACTGAGTATCATATACTGTAGTGTTGTAGGTGGTCGTTTTGTCAAAATTTTTCTCATGACTAACACTGTTACCTCACGATACGTGTATATACTGATGATGAGACACACTACATTCTAACTGACAACCTAGTGACCATCGCATCCTAACCTACAATATAACCTGATACTAGCTAACACATACAACAGACTACTGAGTATCATATACTGTAGTGTTGTAGGTGGTCGTTTTGTCAAAATTTTTCTCATTACTAACACTGTTACCTCACGATACGTGTATATACTGATGATGAGACACACTACATTCTAAACTAAATTAAAACATACCTCGTCTTGCAGTTCAAATAAATAGTGTCTTTTTCAATCCACTACATGTTTCGCCATGTTGGCATTTTCAAGTGGGTAAACAGAAACATTGAGACTTGAAACATTATAATATCCGAATTATAATGTTTCAAGTCTCAATGTTTCTGTTTACCCACTTGAAAATGCCAACATGGCGAAACATGTAGTGGATTGAAAAAGACACTATTTATTTGAACTGCAAGACGAGGTATGTTTTAATTTAGTTTATACTAAGCAGTTCAGGGGCTACAAAATGGAATTTAATTACTACATTCTAACTGACAACCTAGTGACCATCGCAGCATTACCTATAATATAACCAGATACTAGCTAACACATACAACAGACTACTGAGTATCATATACTGTAGTGTTGTAGGTGGTCGTTTTTTCAACACTTGTCTCATGAATAACATTGTTACCTCACGATACGTGTATATACTGATGATGAGACACACTACATTCTAACTGACAACCTAGTGACCATCGCATCCTAATCTACAATATAACCTGATACTAGCTAACACATACAACAGTCCATAGAGAATGAAATATTGCGACAAAACCCCTTATAACACAATGGGTACGTTTATAAGTCCTTAAAACCTTGATTTCTTATCATGAACAAGTGGTATGCAGTTCGCCCGTATGAAGTGGGCTCACTTAAACCCAAACCAGGATGTTTGGGTTGCTTTGGTTTGCACCACAGTGCTTTGGTTGTCACCATGGTACTTTGGTTTGTACCGACGATGTGGTTTTCAAACGATGCAAGACATTTAAGTCAGAATATGATACGGATCAGGCAATGTGACCTTGAGGTCCGCTTATAAAATGTATACAGTAACATAGCCTACTTATGTAGGTTGTCTTTTTAAGACAAAAGTTAGATTGCCAGAGCCTCCAACGCATGTAAAACAGCGTTCAATTTGGTTAGAGACCTAGATTTAGTTTGATAACATAACTGATTATTCTGAAAATAAGTCTTAAGTTTTTTATTAATTTCGAAGAATTGGCACAAGAACTATGTAAAAGATATTTTTATCTACACATAGTTGGAAACTGGTTCCACCAGCTTAATGTGGTAGCTGGTAGGTTGTTCAGCAAATCTTTCCACTCTCTGATAAATTTCATAAAACTCCCTCGTTAGAAAGTTAATACATTTTTTCTATCCAGAATTGGAATTTGATTGGGATACTTTTCGGTCGTGTCAGATTAAACAATTAGCAAATAGGTTAAGAGGTCGACCACGATAAAGCGGTAATGGCTTCTTATGAAATATGAGGTGAAACTTGAGTTGAATGACAGAAGCTTGGCTTGCTGACTTACACTTGGACACGAATTGAAAACCTTATTCAAGGAGCTAAATTAAATTATGTTTATACTTATAGAATGATAAGGTCTTAAACTAAATGGTAAAAACAATCAGTCAGGTAGGGGAGAATGTTCTTCAGTTTCTACATTTCAAAAGAGCTGGTTGTAAAATTATTTTATAGAATATATTTAAATGAGATGACCAATGTATTGGAGAGTGTTATTAATTTGTTTTCAGTTTTATATATTTATGTTTAAATTTTTACAGAGTGCTGCTATAAAATATGTAATCGTGTCTAACATCATGTACTGTACAATACAGTCAGCAATATGATAATGTAGGGAAATGCATCCTGCGATGAATCAAATATGTTTGCTCTTATCTCCTCCATATTGTAACTTTTCAATTTATACTATAACTAAAAATATCCTCGAGACATACAGTATGTAAATTAAGTCTTGAAACAAATCTGTATTTTTTAAACCGAAATAGATAGAAATATTCTGAGTGTGGCGTTGACTGTTAACAAAGGTTCCGTAATTTTTTACATCAAAATATGTTTTTATCTACCCCCAAAACAGGGTAGTGGGTTGGGGGTGTCGTTTTTTTTTTTCAAATAGCAATTCCTATTGAGTGACCCCTCATTTTGAAGGATTTGTCAAGAGAAATATAATGAAGCGAATCCGAGGTAGATATATCACGCCTAGCCAAAAAGTAGTGGTAGGTGTTCCTTAGTTTGAATTATGTGAAAATCGCCCATTCCAACGATTTAAAATTTGGAATGTCATAGGAGATCGAATGGCTATGGGTGAGCGTCTACCTCATATTATCTACCTTGGTTTTGCGTCACTGTATTTCTTTCAGACAAACCCTTCAAAATGAGGGGTCACTCAATAGGGGTCCCTATTTGAAAAAGTCAATGTTTGGGGGGTTAAAAATATTGTTGATGTAAATGTTTACGGAACGTCAACAATAATGCCACAAACAGAATATTTCTACCCATTTCGGTTTTAGAAATACAGATTTTTGTTTTCATACTTAATTTACACACATTGTATATAGTTGAGAACCCTCATCGATTATTGTTATTTAACGTACGGTGAACAAAATTTAAAAGCACAATAAACTAATACCACGCACGTTTATTGGTACCACCACATATGATATAATACTTTTGTTAGTATTATCCATCGAACAAATCCTTCCCTGCTATCTAGTGTTAAACATAAGTAGTTGTACAATGCTATAAACTTTGTTTCAGTAGCCTCAGACATTACTTCGCTGACATAATCCCTAACACATTTTATAAATGCGTAATGGTTTTGATTATTTTAAATTGTTCTCTGTAAATGTTTTCATATTTCCTGAAAGGTAATAATACTGGCAAACGTAAATACAAGAATATATAATTCCTACTTTCCAGGTCTAAACAGTAAATGTATTGGTACTAGCTAGCATTTGTAAATCAGAGAGAATATTCTACTGTTCAAGTTTGTACAGCAAACATTGTAGGTTATCCATTCAGTTTATACAGCTAGTATTTTAGTATTTACCTATAGTAAATCCAAGGCAATTTCTTACTTTTCAAGTGTGTATGTAGAGTAAGTTTGTTGGTAACAGTAAACCTATAAATAATTGTGTTCTCTATTGAAACGTCAAATCTGTCGACGCCAGCAAGTGTAAAGACGAGAATAATCTATTCATCAAGTTTGTGCACCAAGTCTCTCGATACTGATTGAAATTAAGGGATATTCTGCTTTTGACATGTCTATAACGGAACGATACAGCAAATTGTCAAACAGTCTACCTAATGAGGTAGATATAAACAGTTTTACCTCCATCTACGCTGCAAGGTAAAGCTGCCTCTGAACTGGTCTGGAGAAAACTCTATTTTGTTGCTTCTATCGGTAATTAGCATGTTTAATTACCCAACTTGACAGAGTAAATATAGTTTAGGTTGAAAACCTGCGCTACTGGTTTCGTTGTAAACAAACGGTGTTTTACCCATGCATTTGTTAAACTACCTAATAACATTTGCATGGACATATTATTGAAATAACTTTAGTCTATATTTATTTATATGTATGCGCACGAATGTAATCATCATGATTTTAAATTTATTATCGAAATTACATCAGTTATCAATCATAGTAGGCCTATTAGGCTATTCTAAGATGCAACACTGGCTCAATTTGAGGCGAAGATAATAAATTGAAGGCTGAGTGTATAATGAATGATAAGATTTGCTAATGATTGAAACAATACGAGCCATTGTTTTATTGTTTATATACTTTGTTATTAAACTAGGGGTGGTGCTACATTCCAAATCATAAATGAATAAGAGCAAAACAGCGCAGAAAACCTAATTGTTAACATCACAAACCTCCAAATACTAGAGATGAATTATGGATTTATAATACGTTAGACACAAGAAACCAAACGAAAATGTTAATTCTTCAATTTTAAGTACATATTGACAAATATTAAATAGCAGCATAGTAGCTTGTAGCAATTATATAAAAAAATATTTTATGTTTATATTATTTTGTTACTTTATGTCGGCCTTAGTCACTAACAAGACTACAAGATCGCGCCACTCATCCTACACATCTCCATTCATTAAAGTATTTAAGTTTCTGCACTCAACATTTTTTGGATGGATATTAAATTAAACTTAGGCTTATTTATGGCTCCGACGGATAAATTTACTTAATTTGATTATTTTCTGATCTGTTAATGTGATAATTATTAATTAATTTCGTGTATATAGTATATTTATCAGCTAGTAAGCCTTATATAATATTTTTTTCATTGCGCAATTCCAACAAGTTTTACACACAGTGTATACACATAATTCAAAGCATTAATAGAATATCTCAAATATTTTATCAATAAATAAATACTCTTCAACCTACAATTAGCCATATACAACGCGCGCGTTTTATAACACATCAGGTAGTCTGACTACATAGTGCACCTTTTTCTGTGGTTAAACATATACGTATGCTAGTTGTACTCACGTAGTTTAAGAGCCTGTGATGTAGAGAGGACAGCTGCAAGGAGCAAGTAGGACGCTGCCATGGCGGAGGTCGACGGGGCACTAAACACCAACACTAAACACTAAACACCAAACACCACTCGCAACCGCGGACCGTCCACACTGCAACAATCGTCCGTAGCGCCGCGACCAAACTTCAGATCCAAGTTTGGAGTCCCCCGAATGATTCGGTACCACGAATTGTTAAAATCATTTTCTTTTCCTTGCAAAATAAAAATTCTACTACTTCTTTGGTTCGGCACTAGAACGGTGGTAGAAGTAATAACTAACAAAGGTGTCGCATACATTTTTGTTCAAGGGGCAAACTGATATTTGTGTTCATGGGTTTGGAAAAATACCATCCTCTGCTAACAAATCTAATAAAACATTAAGAATTTTTTTTCTCCCTAAGTTTCTAATCACTTGGCGGATTTTTAAGATTTTTCTTTTGAATATTAGATAATTGAGAGAGTAAGGGAATTTTGAAAGCATATACTTTTATTTTGAGTTTTATTTTATTAAACATTTAATTTCAGTGTTAAAAGGTCTAACAGCTCACGCTAATATTAAATTAGTATTTCGTATATATCAGCATATATTAGTTTCGTGAGTTTAACTAAACAGCTGCAAAAATACAGCATATTAATGTGACACACAACAAAAGTAAAAAGTGCCTTTTGGTACGAATAACTTATGTAGCTTGTTTATTTAGACTGTGTGCATTGCTATAATCAATGGTATCCGTCCGGTAAGAGGATGATCGATAATTTATATCTATCTACTAAATACAAGGGTTTTCTCTGTTGCATTCATGTTTCACCCGTCACATCGTTCACTTGGTTTTTCACTTAAACGATTTATACGGTATAGGTGTAATTTCAAGGCCTGTGATTCAAAAGAGTGACGAATGAAAAATTGAAAGGCAATTACCTATAAGCCTTTGCCCCCATCCTTTGTTTTATTTCTGGAGAGTGCTTTCAAAGGTCCAGTGTTGCTAATTTTCTTAATACCGGTAACACTAAACACTAGTAGTTTTAAAAGTGTACGGAGGGGACCCGTGCGTAATTTGTGCAGTTGAATAGGGTCCAAACTTGTTTCCTAGATAAAATGAACCCAGTGTGACAGGTGCCCATTTACATTTTCGAGATTATGCTTGTTTAGAACAGTTATTAGGTGAATAACACTACCTACTAATCTATATCTATAAAATAGGAACCATGTATGTATGTAAGTATTTATATGTATGTACCTTATGGACTACGAAGCCGCTCGACAGATTGTAATGAAAATTTCATGCATTATTAAGCATTATTCAAGGATGGTTTGTGTGAAGTTTGGTGCAGATCCGTCAAAATGGCTACTCACCAGAGGGTTTTAAGTAGGCCAATGTCAGACTTTTTGAACTGCAATGTTGACAAATAAGCAACTGTTTTGTAGGTTTGAATAATCACAGAGTGAAAATTTAAAAACGTACGTTTTCAGGAAAAGCACTTTGCAAAATTTTTTCCCCTTTTTTCAAAACTTTTATTAGTTTTTTTATTTCATTAACATTTGAAGTTTCATAAAATGTCCATGGTAACGCAATATCTTTGGTAGTTTTTTTTAAAAAGAGCATCTTTAGTGGAAAAACACAAAATCCTGTCACGACCATAACGGACGTTTAAATGAATATTAAAAATAGTTAATATTATTTTTATAACTATGTTTTGCTATAAACTAATTTACTTTTATGACCATTATACAATAAAAAGGTCACTGAGCTTTTGGTATATTTGGTCTTTCTAGAAAAAAATAAAAAAACTAAAAAAATTTAAAAAAAAAGCCAATACAATCTTTTTAAGTTTGTATAACTCCGAAAAAACTTACCTGAGACCCGAAAAATCGTTGTGTTTGTATATAGGTGTGCTTCTTTTGTGTATAAAACATTGAAATATGACGATATTTTAATTTTTGAAATTTTTACGATAGAAATCATAAACGTGATGGTCAGGGACAAGCGGTACGGTCGTGAATTGTCTGAAATAATCTAAATCTTTCTAAACAATCCTTCAATTATACTGTTAGTTATAATAAAAATATGTGTTTCAATTGAACTAAACTGTTCAATTTACAATTATATTAAAGTTATTGTCACGACCAAACACACTATAATCCATAAGGCCGGATTGGTCGTGAAAAAACCCGCGATGGTCGTGAAACTTTGGTCGTGAAATTACGTGTTATTTGGCTCTGTTCTGGCGGTAGCCCTGCACCTCATGTTCGAGGATACAAAGTGGACTTCTAGGTTAATATAGCAATTGAAATATCTTATAAACAAAAATTAACACCTTGTCTACTTCATCGAATGACTACGTACGGTCATGGACACACCAAAATTACAAAAAACACAATCTTTCCTTTATTAATCTTGTAATTCCTCCTTTCAACTCGAAACGACTGGCACTACAATCCTGACGTACACCCCGAACTAGTCTTTAAAACCAACTGACTCCATCGACGCCAGGCTTGCCACTGTCGTGCTCCAAAGTTGAAAATTTTTCCCAAATGGTCGTGATGCCAAATCGAGGGACAGACTTATTTTGTCATGGTAGTCAGTTTGCAATGACAATAAAATTATAATATGCTCCTTTTTTGTAAGTTTAATAACCATTGATGACATAAAAATATGGCTTTATATATTTCGGCATGAATAATTAGTCTAAAAACAGCGTGAAAGTTGGAAAATGTACCCTAGGGACACGTCATGGTCGTGAATTTCGAGACTTTAAAAATACGAAAAAAATACCTAGAACCTATTTAAAACTAAATAAATGTGTGTAACATGTTGCCCCCATCCTAAAAAATATAAAAACACATAATAATAAACTACAAATCCAGTATCTACGAAGTAAAAGGCCAGGGACATGAAAACGTACGTTTTTAAATTTTCACTCCACAACATGCTGTATTGTATTAGTCAAGATTTAAAATAGTGCCACAATGTTTCCACAGAGTAAAACTATTTTACTTTTGAATAAGTCCAAATTTATTAAACCCCAATCGCAGCACACCTGTGCACTCAACAACGTTTAAATTCTCCAATGTTAAATATGTAAACATTAGAACCTTAATCAAAGTATTATAAACAATAAAAGGGATGGCAATGACTTTTAATATTTTCATCTTTTGTTCTGTACCCACACAATCTAAAATAAATTATTAAGTGAATAATGTGTGCTATCTCAGGTATTCAAATGCCTCTTAATTTGTCATTAACCCACCACATTACTGTAATTAAAAGAAGGAACCCCAATAATACTAATGTGAAACTTAAATCAACCGAAGCTGTGCAACGTTACCAGACTGACGATTAAAAAAATGACAACAAAATTCATTGAAGCAAAAATTATCAGTGGTAAGTTTACAGGGGGGTAAATTTCAGTTAAAGGGGAAATAGTCTTAATCCCAAGAATACTGATGATTTCATCCGAATTACCCTCTGAATTTATGCAACTACAATTTCAACTACAATTTTTTTGTGTCTTGATTTCGCAATCACCAGTATAAGGCACTAGGGCAATCCCTGACTATAGTCGGTTTAAATTTAGAAAATGCATGCTTTTCACACGGACAGCTGTATGTTGCGTGCTCACGTGGTGGTAGGTCGGTAGGTATGCCTAAAAACGTAATATATTTTTTATACACCTAATGAAAAAACAAAAACATTGTTTATCCACTGGAAATTAGGTGAAATACTTATTTTTGGTATACATTTTTATTATTTATTGTAAATAACAAATTACCATTTAAAATAATAGTGATTAGCGCAGTAACGTGCGCCGGGTAACTGCTAGTTTACAATAAATTTGTTGATTTTAGATACACACTATAAAAAGTGATTTACCTTTACCTACCTCAATCAGGTTTTCTCCCGCTGGAATTTTTACTCCCTGAGCAAAACTGACGTCACAAACCAGGGGGTAAAATTACGGCCGCGAACTTTGGAGTTCAACAGCACCAATTCAATAAATTGAAGGTGGAATTAAAAATATTATTATTAATTATATAATATTTTCACGATTGTGATGAATTTAATCAGAAGGAATCCAATTATAAAACCTAGAGTGTACCGGCTGGAATGTTACCCCCGGAATTTTACCATGGCCCGGATTTTTACCCACGGAATTTTACCCCCTGGCTGGCCAGATATAGAAATGAGTTTATCATTCTAATGGACTACTCAGTTTGTTCACATACATATTAAATAATATAGTCGGTCCCAAAAGTCGAATTCATACAAACTTGAATATCAAAATTAAACAGCAAAACCTCTTTACTTAGTTTGTATTACAATACAAATAAATTAAGATATAGGCTCCTTAGTAATAAAATGTTTACTATTCAATCAAAACTGAAATCAGAAAATTAATTAATCTCACTAATTTCTATATCTGCACAGAGTTTAAAATTCCGGGGGTAAAAATTCTGGGGAGTAAAAATTCTGGGGAGTAAAAATTCTGGGGAGTAAAAATCCGGGCTGTACATCTACAGTTGCCTAAACGCTAGTTATAGGGACAAGGACAGGGGGTAAAATTTCGGTTTTTATTGCTAATTCTATTGCTTTTATCAGTCTCTATCTATTTTCATTACACTCCCAAATCCGCAGGTATAAAATTCCGCCCGCAAACAAACTTTAGAGCGCTCAGGTTACTATATCGTAGTGACGTCAGATTTTCCCAGGGGGATAAAATTCTGGCGACCCTATTTCAAACATAGTTTTCATAAACTAATCAGTCTCTTGTTTACAATCTGACACTGTTGTCATCCAACTGAAGCAGCTAAAAGTAAATTCACATTTAAATCGTTATAAAGAAAGTTTGCCAGCATTTTTGAAAATTTACTTTAGAAATAAATTAAATGTCAGGGGGCAAAACCCTAAAAGGAAATTACCTTTTTAACTATCATACCCAGGAGTGGTGTGCTGTATCATAAGCTTTAAAATAACACCTCAATTAAATGTGAAAATCAAAATCGAAACAATTTTTGAATGTGACTACGGGGACCGCACAATTCAACTCATAATTATAAACTATGTACAAATCCATAAAGCCAAAGTGTATTAATTTATTATGGCAAGCCGATTTTGTGGACTGGAAGGAATTAATTATTCTTAATCCTATGGTTAAGAGAATCTTAGGTTGGATTTAAATAGTGCAAAAAATAGACTACTATTGTAATGTTTGTGTGTGATGTAAATTAAATATATTTTTCTATTTTTTTAAATTTTAAAGGCCTCTATGGTATACTCCTTGGTTATACATACAGTAATACCATTTGTCACCATTGTTTTTATGTAGGTCTTTTAATAGTTTCAAAGTTGCTGAAATATTTTGAAACTGAATAGTCTTAAAGGGTGTCTTAGAGTTGAGTTAAAAAAAAAATTAAATATCCATGCAGTGGACCTGTTGCTATGTCTCACTTTAGGTGTTTTTAAAGTTTTTTTCGTCCATTTCAGACTTTTTCATCATTATTTCACAAAACCGATTTTTCAGTTATATGCAGTGTGAGGTAAATAATTTGATTTTGAAAAACTAATTTACAAATTTGAAACTATGATTCTGTTTATTCTGTTTATTAAACTGTTTTCTCTTTCGACCTTAGCTCTAAACTCATCCTCCTTCTGGAGAGGAGCTAGATAGCCTATGCCTTATATATTGCTAATTTTCAGCAACACTCAATGACAGCAAACAGGTCAGTTGGGGGGGGGGGTTATGAGGTTTTCAAAAGGTCTAAGTTTTGTCCCCCAGTGTAATGCAAGAGCAAAAGTGCTTCACCCTGAAAAATTACAAATGAGAAATCACTACTAAGAACAATTTTAATGAGTCAAACATATTAACATCATAACATTTTATGACCTTTTCTCAAGTTGTCTAGTTTCTAATAGCATAGTTTATCGATAAATTACTCTTTTTCTATATTTGAATAAGAGCAACAGTTGAAAAGATACTTTTTACCTTTGTGATGAACTATATTTTTTGTCACACTGCACCATTATTTAACCAAACTGGGAGCGAGCTGGTCTAGCTCTGGGTTCAAACCCCGCCAATACCCTATGGATTTTATCTATGTGATTATGCCGTGACCCACTAGGCCTGAAGTAATGTATAAAACCATTCCGTGCTAGAATCTAGCATCCTAGAATGTGATGGCGAGACATAAAAATAAATTTAAGCAAACTATGTTACAAATCCAAAATATATTCAAAGTAAAGATAAGCTCTCAAAACGACTTCTTTCTTGTTTGTGATTTTGTTACTGAGAACCAGAAGCCTTTTAGTAATGTGATTGAATGAATCATTTGATTTTTTATTGAGATTGTATTTATGTCTACTATAGATGGATATCGAAATGTCAAACTATTGATAAATAATTGTCTTGAATTGTTTGGCTCTCAGAGAAAAAAAACTTTTTCCACGAGACATCTTGATCCATATTCTTGGACTAGATGTAAACAAACTTGAATCCATTCAACAACGAACCATCGATACAACCGATTGCTTAAATAAAAATAAACAAGCGAGCAAAATGTACTGCTGATGCCATAGACTCCATCTGATTTTTACAACCCAGTCAGAAAAAGTCCTTCTCTAGACTGAGATGGATTTCATATCTTACCATAAGTCATTTTATTACTGTTAGGATGTAATTTACCTTGTTTAAAAAGGTGGTGTATTGAACACAAATCAGTAACTTAGACCATTGCTCTCTGTCGGTGGCTCATTTAACAAAACATTCATGTCAATTTTATAACTTTAACGTGGGGATAGAGTGTCTAGTTATCAATAGTCAATGGCAGATTGTACGCTGTGTCCACATAACTGGTTAAAAGGTTTGTAGTAGGGATGGACGAGACTGAATTTTAAGTTCGAGACCAGATAGAGGCGTGATTCTTTTTTCTCATATCATAATTAATATTATACACTTATACTTATACACACTGCCAGCCCTATTATACAAACATATACAGGCTTCTAAGTACTTCCTAAGCCACTACAGCACATTTTCTACCCTTGAACCATTTTTCAGCACACACATCTCTGTCAACTAGCAACAATAATCACCAGGAATTGATTATTTCCACAGAAACCTAACCATAGAACGCAGTTCATTCTTGGAGAGTCAGTTAATTACTTTCACTTTTTTATCTATGACCAGACTAATCATCTCATAGCGGTGGGAACCAGCTAGAAAAGTACCGTAGTGAATGAAGTAAAGAAATAAATAAAGCAAAGTAAGAATGTCATTGATCTCAGATTCAAAGTAGCTTGCTTGGTTGTGACGGAAGCTCTGGCGAGTAATATCGGATTTGATATATTTCTTGTAATCAAAAAACATATTATCCTTATCTCGCATGCGGCGGGAGATCCAATAATTTTACTTATTTATACAACACACACTAAGTGTAAATACCCCCGCCGCAGCAAACCTGCAGACTAAGCAAATTTCCATTTGCTTGATTGGATTTACACAAAAATGTCTCCTTAAAAATACCACATTTATTCCCTATTTAAAAAACATTAATTTAACGAGTACTTAGGTTTGCTGCAACAGGGAGGGTAAAATGTGTGTTTTTTTTTTTTTTGTAAAATGTTAATAGTTTAGAATGAAATGAATGCATTTTCCAAATTTGATCAAAATATGTTCATAAACAAGCTAACTACAACAGTTTACTTATTCTCCATAATAATAACATGGGAATTTTAAATTTACAGTTTTTTGGAATTTTCTCCGTAACTATTAGGCGCATAATAACGCTTCAATATACTAAATTATTTGTTTTTTTAAGCTCTACAAAATGGTTTGGAAATAAAATGTTAAATTTTAAGTTTTTAGGGTTAAAAATGCGAAAAACCAATTTTTACCCCATAAAACCCCCCATAAACACCTGCTCCCATAGTCCGATCATGCTGGTTCGTGAACTCGTTCGAATAAACGTGGGTCTACATGTTTGTACCAAATTTCATCAAAATTGGATGAGTTTTGCTCGAGTTATCGCGCTAACGGACACATATATAAATATATATATATATATATGAATTTGAACGGATGGTGTTTTTGGCCTCTAGGGACCTCAAAAGGAAAAAGTAAATCGGTCCCGGGTCCAGGTCTTACCATGAGTACTACGGTAATAGCTTATTCCCTATATGGGAAATTCGCTGTTCACAAACATGTCAGTAAGCGCTGAGAAGCCTCATTACAGCACAGCATACACGCAAACTACAGAGCTATACACAAAATTGGCCTTTACTTAAAAAATAACCCTCGTAAAATGCCTAATTCCTTAAAAAATAGCCCTAGCCTAATGGTATCTCTCTTTGATATATTTGGTTCAGACTTTGAATGGTTTGTACCGTCACTTGCTACAACTCAGTGGACTCACACACATGCTGCTTTGGCCATAGCCATGTAAACAAACCAGTCACAATCTGTTCATGCAGCACCAAACAGTAATTACCAGTTTTTTTATTGTGTTTCTTTATTGCTTGGTTAAATGGTTAAAGTACTGTAGTTTACCCCTGTATGTCCCATGTGTGGTTAGGTTATGAAAAGCATCCTTTATTTTTGTATTAACTTCTCATGAACACTACTTTGTTGTTTAGATAAAATGTAGTGCCATTTGTTCATGAATAACCTTACTATTCACATGTGAATGTTTAAAAAAATGTTGCATATACTGACAAGGGCTTGATGTTATATTGGAAGAGCTTAAATAAGGAATTTACGTTAACAATTCAAACTTTTTACACTGCCAATGAAATTCAAGTGAAGATATTTACTGAGAAATCCACTCTGAATATGTTTGCCCACTCCACTGTGTTATCTTTTGTGATTGTTAGTATTAGAGGAAATAAAATAAATCAGAATCACTTACAAATTTATAAAAAAGTTTATATTCTTTGACAACTTCATCATTCTATAACATTTTGGGAAAACCTTAACACAGCAAAATTTTTAAATATTTTAAACTTAAACTTTTCCTTTGTTTTAGAGTTAAAATAGAACTGATTTATAAAACCTTAGCAGATCAGATGTCTCTTATGCCACCTCGTGTGACCTGAAACAAACAAAGAAAAGCTTAAAACAAACAGAAGGAAGATAAGATGGCACACTAGAGCTGGTTTTATTGCATAGCTTTATAATAGGCATGGCTGTTACTGTGGAAATATTGTACCTGGACAAAAATAAAGGTTTCACATGGAAAGGAATGGTAGGGATGGACAGTCTGATATACCTGATCCTTAGTTAAAAACATGCATTTAGGCTTATGCTACCATACACTAAATAATATAAATACTTCTCATCCCATTGTAACATTTGAAGCTAATTTTTTAACCTCATTCATGTTGGTAACATTGGGAGCTAGTGTCGACAAAATATGGTTACTATTGTTTTATGGTTAGTTTCATGATTTGTGCTTCACTGAGTTATTGTTTATGATTAGGTTGTTTTATTTGGTTAAACGAGTATTTAAATAACTCAAGTAACAATAAACAAACCAGGATCCTAGTGGTACCGAACTAACAATAGAATTGACTTCCACAATCTTCCATAATTGTCTTCCTTGATAAGGTTGACAAATGTCTGAGGATGTGATGCTCCCTGGTGTGGATTAACGTCCGCACGAGTGAGTACTCGACTATCTGCAGTACTATCCTGATAATTAGAAAAATTCGTTAACTACCAAGGAAAGAATGTGGTTCGGATTCCACTCTAAACTGTAGGTCCCTTAGTTGCCATTAGCTGTTTGGGCTATTAATTAACAGCTATGTCAAAGGAACATGTCGGCCTTAGTCACTAACAAGACTACAAGATCGCACCACTCATCCTACACTCATCCTTCACTCATTTTTGGGTTAAAATACGCACATAGTGGGGTCACCATCTTAAATAATTGATAATTGATAAAAATCCACTAAAGGTGTAGCCTATGTTTGCTACTTAACTATGCTATGCTGCTAATAAAAGATTTTAATTTAAAATAGATTCAGTAAAGGGGACCAGTGTAAATTATGTGAATTAATAAAAAAGTATAACAAATTTGCAGAAACAGTTCACTTGTTGTTGTCTTGTTGTTACAAAGTTGAACTTAGCTTAGCTTCTAATATCTAGACAGCACTGCTTCATCTGGATTGTGAAACACTCCTGGTATTGTCTGTGGGCTAACTTTCACATAATTACGGACCTTCCTCCACTTTACTTTCAATCAAGTGCACCCATCTGTGTGAAAATCGGTTTAACATTGCCTTTATTTTAGGGGGTTAACTGCATAACCTACCAACAACTGCTGTTGAATCTGAGATAAACGTCTTGTTCCTGCCAATATAAAGCGAGAATCGATTCTCTCCATGCTGACAGCAATTGGTAAAGGTGGATGACAGACAATTGTTCAGGTGACAGAGAATTTACTATTAGTCTGCAAGATGAATATTTAGCTGGGGCCAGCATTTTTTTAGTGTTGCCTTACTAATGCCATTCTACAGTGTTTTTTAGTATAACACTAATCATGTTAGGGGCCTGGTAAGAGAGGTATGCCAAAGAAAGCAAGTATTGGTTTTCGGTACACCAAGCTTTTTTGAAATTTTTTTAAATCCCAGAAAGGAGCAGTAAATGTTGCATGAAGGAAAACTCCTGATATCGTCGCGATTGCGGAAGATGATTACGATGTCCCCTTGACAGCAAGAGATGATGTTTTATATATATATATATCTCTGTCACCAATGCTTTTTAAATTACTTAGTAGACACCCCCAGAAAAAAGATGATGATGTCTCCTCATCTTCCTCTTGGTTAAATCCATGATTTTGCAGAAATTGCAGAAGTAATGATTTCTCTCAGTACATTGGGACACCACAATCACAGATTGAAGATGATGACATGGTAATGAATTCACACTATGCCTAATCTAATTTTGTGGCTAGAGCTTATAATAATTTTCACACGCTGACGTAACTATTGTGCCTTTATCACATTAATATATAATTAATAATTATCATAATAGATGAGTGAACAAAGTGAACGAATCTATGTATCGTGTATAGCGAAGTTGGAGAAAAGTTGTCCGCTTGTGTGTGTGTCTTTGCGTGTGTGTGTTCGCACCAAAAACTCAAGAACCGTCGCACTTATAGCGTTAAAATTTTGCACAAATAATTATGACACCAGTGGGAAGACACCATTAAAATTCTAGACGATTCCGCTCAGTAGTTTTTATAAAATACTTAAAAAACATTTTTAAATTTGTCCCATAAGAATAACATTAGGAGCTACCTTCTTCTTCTTTTTATTTGTTTACGTTTTGCGACCAACAATTTTGTTGCCTACTTAAGACAGAGAGAACGACTTTTACTCTAAGCTCTTTCATTCATGGAGTAAACCGGAGTAAACAGTTTGGCGTCTATGAATATATATCATTATAATTTCACAGCTTTCAGAATAATGTTATTTAAGCTAATTAAATTTCGCAGCTTTCAGATTAATAAATTGAACTTAAAAATATAAGTCGGCAGTTATATAGCCTACCGTTTATGTTCAGTATTAAAATTCACCTTTAAATTAAAAATAATATGTATGTATTTAGAACAAAGCAGCTTTTCACATTATTCACTTTAATGTTGGCATTGAATATTAAATATTCAAAGATGTTGGTATATTTTTATACTAAAATGCTATGCGAAGGGGGAGAGGGGGGACAGGTCCACGACGTAGAGAGTGGTAAATAAAGCGGAAAGGTGAGCAGTGAAAAGAAAGGAGTACGGAAACCCTTTATGACTGTTAAATTAATGTATCTGTAATACTTAAATGCTATGGAAATATAAGGAAACAGGTCGACGATGTAGGAAGAAGTGAAGGAAGTAGTCAAGGCGAGCAGTCCGGAGTGTAGAAACCCTTTGTGAAAGTTAAATTAATCTATTTGAAATTCTAAAATGCTATAGGAAGGGAGGGAAACAGGTCTACGACGTAGGAAGTGGTGAAGGAAGTAGTCGAGGCGAAAATTCCGGAGTGTAGAACCCCTTTGTGATAATTAGAATAATGTACAGTATCTGCAATTCTAAAGATGCTATGGGAAGGGAGCGAAACAGGTCCACGACATAGGAAGTGGTGAAGGGAGTAGTCAAGGCGAGGAGTCCGGAGTGTGGGAACCCTTTGTGACAGTTAGATTAATGTATCTGCAATAATAAAATGCTATTAGAAGAGAGGGAAGTAGGTCCACGACGTAGGAAGTGGTGAAGGCAGTAGTCAAGGTGAACAGTGGGAACAGTGTGGGAACTCATTGTGACAGTTAGATTAATAATGTACCTGCAATACTAAAATGCTATGGAAAGGGTGGGAAACAGGTCCATGACGTAGGAAGTGGTGAAGGAAGTAGTCAAGGCGAGCAGTGCGGAGTGTGGGAAACGTTGGTGGCAGTTAGATAAATGCATCTGCAATACCAAAAGGCTATGGGAAGGGAGGAAAACAGGTCCACGTCGTAGGAAGTGGGGAAGGATTTGGTAAATGCGAGAAGTTCTGAGTGTGGGAACAGTTTGTGGTAGTTAGATTAATGTACATTCAATACTAAAATGCTGGGGTAAGGTAGGGAAACAGGTCCACGACGTAGGTAGTGGCGATGGAAGTGGTAAATTTAAGCAGTGCGGAGTGTGGGAACTGTTTAGTGCATTTAGATTCATTAGTTAGATGATGATTTATTGGATTTTTTATCATTTTTAGATGATATAATTAGCGCTATCGCTGTTATAAATCGTCATTGTAAGCAATACGATATTTTTTTGGAGATTCCTTACACTGTGCTTTGGCAATTTATTTAAGTTAGATTAGTTCAGTTTGGCTTAGTTTTGTTTATGATAGGCCTTATAACAAATATGGAAATAGGCTTCATTTAATCAAAAGACGTTTTGTACAAGAACGATGGATTTACCTCCTATCGATAACTGTTGAAAATCCATTACGTATATTACCAATGACTTTTGGTTAATTAATGGACGAGGATCGTTGTTGACTGAGATTTGGTTGATTTGCCCATACAAATAACATTATTGTGTTCACCAGTGACACTGGTAAGTAGGCTAGGTGTGGGTGGACTCTTTCATTATTGCGCTCATGTTCACTCATCCCGTTACGTGCAGAATAAGCGTACTACTAGTGTTACACAACACTACAAACAAAATGCTTTTAAATGAACTAGAATTAGTCTATTATTATACTCACAAAAAGTTTTAAGATTAAATGAAACAATTTAATCGTTAGGGTTTGAATGATATCAGAATGGGTTTATATTTTTAACTGAATATTTATGAATAGTATTATTTTTATGTTTTAGAAGTTAAATGTGTGGAAATGACTTGCTAGTCCTAAATTTCTCTCACACATTTAAAGAAATTTTTCGTTTCATTAAATTTAAATTTAGGAATACGAAGATTAGAGAAGTCACTTTTCACCTATTTTGGTATTTTAATAATTAATTTTAACATTTTTTAAAGCAGGGTTCTTGGAATATTAAAGAAATTCCAAGAGTTGTATGATGTTAAATTTAGGCTAGGCCAATAAAAAATTTGAGATGTCATCGCAATCACAGGATTTCTCTGGCTTGGCCCGACAGCAGTGGATAGTCATAATTTCACTGCTAATTCAAAGTCACAAAGTACCGGTATAGAGAATTAACAATTCTTCTAGTTGTATCAACAGTTTTCTTGAATCAAGGATCAGAATCAACCCTCATTTAAAGGTTTCACAATGAAATTTACAAACTTTTACAATAAACAAAAAGTTCAGCTCATTCTTTGTTACAGGTTTTTACCTTACCGTTACGGTAAGACCAGCTTGTACCAGCCCTGGGTATTCGTTACGAATACCTAGGTAGAGCTCTTAGATAGCTGAAAATGAGCGTTTGGACAGCAAAAAATAACTTTTTTGTATTAAGTAGACATTCTAAACATTATTTAAAAAAAATAAAGAACCCAAGTGGGGAGTAACAGTCCAGGTCTACCCTACAGTTAGTTTAAATAAGTAATTACATGGGAATATAGGCTAATATAAATGTGTTCAGTAAGATTACCGTATATGAAATGAAAGTTTACTAGCAACAATTCCATACCAACCTTAAATTCAGCGGAACTGTTCTGCAGATTGGGGCTTTTGAAAATGACTCCAGCAAATTGAGATGTTGATGGCAAGAAACCAAGAATTAGTCTGTTGTTTACTAAATGGCCAAGACATTCTCCGAGGGCTGGTACAAGCTGGTCTTCTCCACGGGAAATGCGAGTTGTCAAGTGGTTTGTAACAACAACCTATAACACACATTTTGGTAAATGTAATTGTACATTAAATATCCAGTTTACAGTAGGACAGACTACGTAAACCAACTTATATTCAAATAATACATAGCAAGTACCGGTAGAAAGGAGACTTGTAGGCCAACCTAACTTATACCTTAATAGTTTTATCAATTAGGTACTTCTAGTCTCAGCCAAGGTATATATTCTTCTAAAGATTCATATTCTTCTCTACATTTGTCACTGGTGTTCAGCCGTGAAATTTTTTACACTATTTAAAAATGTACTTTAATACTTTCTTATTAAATGGCGACCATACAAAGTAGGTATTTTAAGCCAAGTATGAATGGAGATGAGTGTAGGATGAGTGGGGCGATCTTGTAGTCTTGTTAGTGACTAAGGCCGACATTCCTTACACAGCTATTAATTAATAGCCCATACACCTAATGACAACTAAGGGACCTACAGTTTATAGTGGAATCCGAACCACATTTTTGGGTGCCTTGGTATATACGAATTGGTCTAATTATCAAGATAGTACTGCAGATAGTCATAGTACTCACTAGTGCGGACGTTAATCCACACCAGGGAGTATCGCATCCACAGTGCATACCTATAAATATCCACAATTCGTGACCTCCTAGTAGCTGGATTACAGGACCACCTGTCCAAGTCTGAATTGAATTAACAGCTATGCCTAACGCTCAATTAAACTTGACACTCTAGCATATTAATTTAAGTTAGTTCTAAGCTACTCCACCAGGTGAGTTGTAAAATGTAGACTACAGAGTTAAGTTCATAGGCTAACTTAACTTAGCCTATGTTAACTTAACCCTCCCAGTGTTACTTGACGAAAATTCGACAAGCAGCACACTTTGTGTAGTGTTACTTGTCGATTTTTCGACAAGCAGACATCGTTTACGGCGAAGGCTCTATAACTGACTGAATCGGATTGAACTGGATCGAGTTAGGTATCGTTCTTTCCGTTTCATTCTAAGCTTTCTCCAGAGGTCTGTCTCAGCGCTGTACGTTATCTGAGCCGATCGTAATATGTAGCAGACAGCTGACGTGCGTGTATTTGTAAACAGCTAGGTTACCCTCCGACCGATGACTGATGTGTTTTATTACGTTTATCATTGTTTTAGTGTTAAAAATCAAAAGTAGTGATATACGTGTTGCATTATAAGAAGATTTAAGTGGTTTTGAAGTGCTGGTTGATGATCCTGAAGAAGTAGGTAGTGATATTGATGTAAATTATCAGCCAGATTCCTAGCTATGGTTAGGCTATGCATTCTTAGCTAAACGCTATGTACTGAAATCTGTTTTTTGCCCATAACTTATTTATTTGCAAATCTACTTCCTTATATTATTATATATTTGTAATCCTCATAAAATTTAGAACAAAGTGGCTATTTTCAAATATTTATAGGCCTATAATTTATACAATTTCATTGAGCGCGAACTTATTTTTTTTTTGAAAATTTTCGAAATTATATTTTTTTTTACCTAAAAATTTTTTTTTTGAAAAAATGTTCCTTATGTTTTATATATAATATTGAAGCCCATGATTTTCCAAACAAAATGGTATATAGAACATTCGAATTAACATTGTTTTAAGCTTCTCAGATCCGTTTTAATAAAACCTTGCAAATGCGCCAAAAATAGGTGGACATTAAGGCCTAAACTATGGACACTTGGAGGGTTAATATTTTAGTTTGTTGGGTTTTTCATTATGGCCAATAACTTAAGTAAAGGCATAACTTGTTGGTCTTTGAACATTGACACTTTGCGGTTTTAAAAGGTAGCCTATAGTAATACCAGAAACAAAAGAACCCTGGGCCGTTTCGAGCCGCGCAGGTTTGAATGGTACGCCACACCTACCGGCGCGAACCACGTGACCTTTTCGTTTCTGCGCAGGTTGTTTTGTTCGTGGTATTTCTATAGGTTACTATTGAAATGAGTTACCGTACTCAGTTACAATTAAATAATTTAGGCCTACATTTAACTTAACTTGTACTGTATAAGCCTACTCATGTTTAAATTCTTTTTTTTAGAAATTGGCTTAAAGATTTTATGAGACAAACTTTAAATCAAAGACTAAATCTGTATTTAGGCTAGGGCTACCGAAACTATGCTATGATTAGGCCTATTAATGCAGCCAAATAATTTTGTGAGAATATCACAAAGTCAGCACTAAAAAATAACTTACCGGTACCCTATTGAGTTATAATTCTGATGATTTATTCAACTCAATAGTTTTGAGTGCCATTTTCAAAGCCCCATCTCTACTCTTGTTGCCACCAATAAACCCAGAGTGATGAACAAATATACATCCTTCAATCCCAGCGATTTTGGACAACTCCTCATCACGCAATCCTTGCCATTCATGATGAAGAAACTGGCGGCATACATAACTTCCAGCATTGACTGATACTGCTTGACATCTCCAATTTCGGTGACTATCAGAAAAAATTACAAACAAGATGGGATTTTCAATGCTCAATTCTTTCTCAAGATTGAAAAAATGCTCCTTCCATGGGCAATGTCCCTCCAATTCAATGATTTGCCCACTCGGATCAACATTAAATCGCTTTGCAATAGCATTAGCTACCATACTTCTTGCTGGCCACCAAATTGTGCTTGCTCTGTTCACTTTGCTAACAAACTCACTTCCAACATATTTCTGAGCCTCAGAGAACGATGCTTCTTCGTTATATTCACTGTCAGGAGTGTTCCATTGCTTGTTAAACTGGTGACATCGGCTACTCAAATTGGTTGTAATCCGATACTTAGGCTCACCTTCAAACATAGGGATGCCATTATCAATTCCATCAATTTCTTGAATGAAATTCTCATACACATGATCAAAGACAGCTTCAACTTCATCTATGCTTGTACTATCACCTAAAATTTTCTTGATAATGTCCTTTCCAAAGTGACAATAAACTAGTCCGGCACTGCTCAACTTAGTGGTCCACTGTTTACCTGGGATGATAGAACTCATGCTTTCATTGAACCCTTTTTGATGGTGGTCAAATCGGCATTTTTCTGGATCATATTCATTGCCAACATCAATAACTATGTCACAATCTTTTAACACGTTATCATCGCGAGATCTAACAATATTTGAGTCAGGAAACAATAACTGTAACATGTAAGTTCCCAAAACCTCATCACAATGAAACACGCCATTATGAGTTCCAATCTTAATTGGACTTTTCTTAAAGCGCTTGAAAATTGTAGAATACATGACAATAATTAGTAAAAAGTATGATTTTACACTTATGCTAGTTGTAGGTTATGTTTCTAGCATTACCCTTCCTTGAGGTAAGTAGGCCTAGGCTAAAATATCCAAAAACAGTTGTATGGACAGTTGAGTTATATAATAGAGTAAGAATAAAAATTAAATAAAATTCTAAGCCAGCTTCTCTGATGCGAAACCCCTAGCACCACAGTTGTTTAAATTAAAATTGACGTAGTAAACGTTAAATCGTGAAATTCAATTTAAGTAACTGATTGAACCACTGAACTGAACCTAACCTCAAAGCTCAAGCTCAAAGCAAGCCCGGTTAATTTTTTTGAGCAGACAGCTGGTTTTTTTTCATCTCTGTAAAGAACTAATTTAGGAAGGCTTGATTGTGTTATCATGCAAGTGTATATAACAACTGAGGCATAACTTACAATTATCCTTAAGTCATAGATTAAACATACTGAAGTATTATTTAGTAAATGAATCCAGTGATATCCTTAAGGAAATTTAATGATATATTTATACAGGCCAATCAGTTGAATATCAACCTTTAGTAAAGTACCTATCTATATATAAAGCCAAAAGTACCCATGAACTTTTGAGAAAACTACAAGTCACACTCCCAAAAACCATATACTTAAAATGTTCGTCATGACGAGAAACCTTGCGCAAAATTATCCATTATTTCATAAATTGTCCTATAACGTAATTGCTTTCCAAAAGGAACTTTCCATTTACCTAATGTTAAAAATACCTCAGCTGTTATTATTTGTTTGTATTAACATTACTGTATTCTGTTATGTTTATTTCAGCTTAAAACTTAACCAATCAATAGTTTTATTAATCTAATATATAAAATTCTCGTGTCACAGTGTTTGTCTGCAAACTCCTCCGGAACGACTTCACCGATCGTTATGAAATTTGGTGTGTAAATTCTGTAGGTATGCGAATCGGACGTAAACTATTTCCCGTTTCGAAATTCTTAAAAGGGCTCCGCCCCAGTGGCTCTGGAGTTTCCCATGTTAACCTTATGAGAAATGGAATTAATGAATCTTAACAGCTGTTTCAATTAAACAAGTTGGTTCTGTTCTATGATGTTCAATAGCATTAAAGTTACAAGGATTACCAACAGGGTGCAGCACTATTATTTCTTTTACATTTATGACAACAGCTAATTTGCAACCAAAAGGTGAGTGAGCGTAGCGAACGAACTTCAACCTGGAGGCGAGTTAGCGTAGCGAACGAGCTAACCTGAAGGCAAGTGAGCGCAGCGAACGAGCTCCAACCTAAAGGTGAGTGATCGTAGCGAACGAGCTCTAACCCAAAGGTGAGTGAGCGTAGCGAACGAACTTCAACCAGGACGTGATTGAGCGATGCGAACGAGATCATCTTGATTCAACCTGGAGGCGAGTTAGCGTATAGCGAACGAGCTAACCTGAAGGCAAGTGAGCGCAGCGAACGAGCTCCAACCTAAAGGTGAGTGAGCGTAGCGAACGAGCTCCAACCCAAAGGTGAGTGAGCGTAGCCAACGAACTTCAACCTGGAGGCGAGTTAGCGTAGCGAACGAGCTAACCTGAAGGCAAGTGAGCGCAGCGAACGAGCTCCAACCTAAAGGTGAGTGAGCGTAGCGAACGAGCTCCAACCCAAAGGTGAGTGAGCGTAGCGAACAAACTTCAACCAGGACGTGATTGAGCGATGCGAACGAGATCATCTTGAAAATTAAACGTAACGGTACTTTCTTTCCATCGGTCTGTCTTAGGGGAAACCTATAACTTAGGCGATACGAAGTTCGCCGGGTCCAGTTAGTACTTCTATAAAAAAGCGGGGTGGAGCCCGTGGGTAACAGCTAGTTTGAGATAAAAGCAGTTGTTAATAGATTATGGAGTTTCCTAGAGTGCCAAAACATTCTATATGAAAACCAGCACGGATTTGTAAAAAGCAGATAGACAACCAGTGCCATGCTTGGTCTTATAAACAGAATGGTGAGGGATATGGATTCACGTCAGCAAGTAAGTAGCAGGGATGTTCTTTGATTTTAGCAAAGCATTTGACCTCGTGAACCATGACATATTGAGCAAAATGAATGATCTGCGGTATTAGAGGAATCGCTCCCAGGCATGATCATGCCTGGTTTTCTTCGTAGGCTACCTGAAAGACAGTCGACAGTGTGTTACGATACCAGCTGTAAATAAAAGTGGCTACTTGCAGAATCATTTCCTCTTCAGAAGCCCCAGAGTCAGCATCCAGAGGTGTGCCCCAGTAGGGTTCCGTCTTGATTCCAATTCTCTTCCTCATCTTATAAATGATGTTCCATCCAGCTTGAATCTAGCAAACCTATGCCTATTTGCTGATGACACTTCTATCACCATTTCAAATCCCAGTGTACAGGCCTTAGAACAGACCTTATTTCTTGAATCCAACTGCCTGCTTCAGTGGTGTGAGAGGATAATCAACTCAAATCAAATCAAATCAAATCAAAATATCTTTATTTCGTAAAAGTAATCATTTTTACATTTTTACAAAATACAGTATCAGATTACCATAAGAATATAACTGTACTTGAACTAAACGAAATTACTCCCACATGGGAGAACCCGTGCGTGGGAGTGAGTCATTCTGTACTTAAATATGAAAGAGAAAAAAAAAATTATACGTAATAAGAAACAAAACAAAATACTTCTATCCACTGGCATGATTCCAAAGCGCTAGCGGAATTTTGGCAAATCACATTGGAACATAGATAAAATGACTCGCCTTTGGCTCGCTGGGGGCTCCGCCCCCAGGCCCCCTTTTTTGGTAGGGGGTAAATAGAAATGGGCCATGGCGCAAGACCTGCAA